CAAGTTGCTGACTCAATTTGCTAAAAAAAATTGTAAACCGCTTAGAGAGGGCTGAAAGCCCTATGAAGTGGTATATAAGTCTATTATTATTATTAATAATAATAATACATTTATCTCAGAGGCTGAATTAATCATGTGGGTCAGAAAGACACGGAACTTTCAGCAAGTTTCAGCCAATCACTCCCTTCCCCCCCCCCACCCAACGAGGCAAATTTAGCCTTCTTAAACTTGTGCGAAGGCAGCTGTGGGCAATGTTCCCTCTAAATAGTTGCTCCAGGAAGCCTGAGTCACCTCAAGTCCTCAACCCAGTCACTTTGCTGCCCTGCTGCACCTCAAGACTCCTGTTTAGCTGGAGGGAGTTTCAATCATGATTGTGCAGCCGCTCTGCAGACTGCAGTCCGTGTCCGGCAAATGACACTGCGCGGCAGTTGGAAACTGCAGCACGGTGTTTACCTTCCACATGTATGGCCGCGCACCTGCGCAGCTTAGAGGGAACATTGCACAGGAGGTCATTCTCCCGAATTTCTGTCCTCCTCCTCACGAGAGGGAGATCCTCTGGCACCGCCTGGATGTCCGCTGCACCCTACGCATTGATCTGAAGAATGCATCCTCCATCAGGCAATCGGAGGCCCTGTTCCTGTCCTTCCAACCTAGTATGCTAGCTGCTAGGGTCTCTTCGGCTACCATAGGCAGGTGGTTGCGACAGGCCATCATGGAGGCCTATCAGGCCATGCATCAGGTTCCACCACTGGGCATTACTGCCCATTCCACTAGGAGCAGAGCTACCACGGTCGTGTGGGCTACCAGTGCTCCCCTGGAGGATATTTGTAGGGTGGCCACCTGGGCCTCACCTTCCCCCTTTGTTAGACATTATTGCCTAGATCGTTTTGCTTCACCAGACGCGGCCTTCGGCCGTCGAGTGCTCCAATAGGTGGCAACCCCCCTCCCCCAGAGTCAATGGCCCGCCCTGGGATTTAGCTTGGGTATATCCCTGTTGTAGCCCCTCCTGCCAAAACTACAGGAAAAAGAACGTTGGTCCTTACCTGAACGTTTCTTTTCTGTAGTAGAGGCGGGAGGGGCTACTTCCCGCCCATGGATTTGATCAGATGGGGTCGGAGAAGTTGGGGGTCTCTCTATGTATGTGGTGTTTTCCCTACATAATGCTGTCAGCTTCTCCATTTGACCTCGTGAAACTGGGAGCCTCGAGGGAAAGGAGGATACTTAAGAAAAATCCCTCAGTCTCTGGACCGAACAGGCTGTGACTAAATCCTGTTGTAACCCCTCCCGCCTCTACTACAGAAAAGAAACGTTCAGGTAAGGACAAACTGTCAGGCCTGCAGCAGTTCCTTTAAGAATCTTTGGCCTGCCACACTCTCATTAAGGGGAGGGGGGAATAGCAAGGGGTAGAATGTGCTGTTTTCAAAATAAAAAAATCCTTTCTAGAAGCTCAAGGTCATCTTTTGTCTCCACAACTTTACACCTGACCGGAAGCAGCTGGGTGTAGATTCCAGCGTGGAAGAAGAAGATTGGACCATGTGATGGATTGTGGGTGTGGGGACAAGATCCTGAACTTTTAACTGGGTGGGATTCTGATGTAATTTCCAGAATTGGGATTTCACAGATGTGCTAAGATGTCTGATTTATTAAATTGGAACTGTAAGGATAGTTTTGCCTTGGACTCTGATTTAATTCTACATAATACTTGAAATGCTGACACCAACGTTCTTTCTGTGAGCACAATGAACAAATGTCAAGTACTGAGTAGTGTACCTCCAAGTGATTCCTCCTAGTTATGACTGTGGACGAGGAAAGTCCTGCTGAGGTTTCCTTTCATGGGACTTGTTTTGCTCCACAGCAGGAAAAAGTCATTTACTTCATTGGCAGGGCTATCATAACAGAAATCAGACAAAGGAAGCCCTGTACTCTTGCCATGATTGCAGTGCATTCTGAAAGATTACAGCTTTCTGTTTCTCGATCTGCCACTAAATATACACTACATAAATAGATGAAGTATATCTTACTCTTTTTGATGCAGCTGATAAGAAAAGGTTATTCCTTTGGTATTCTATAATGTTCTATTTGGTTAAGTGAAGTTTTTTGAGAAAACAAAATAACAGAGTTGGGAGGGACCTTGGACGTCTTCTAGTCCAACCCCTTGTTTAGGTAGGAAATCCTACACCACTTCAGACAAATGGTTATCCATTCACTGAGCCAAGGTGGCGCAGTGGTTAAATGCAGCACTGCAGGCTACTGCTAGATCAGCAGGTCAGCGGTTCAAATCTCACCGGCTCAGGGTTGACTCAGCCTTCCATCCTTCCGAGGTGGGTAAAATGAGGACCCAGATTGTTGGGGGCAATATGCTGACTCTCTGTAAACCGCTTAGAGAGGCCTGAAAGGCCTATGAAGCGGTATATAAGTCTACTGATATTGATATTATCCAATATCTTCTTAAAAACTTCCAGTGTTGAAGCATTCACAACTTGAGGCAAGTTATTCCACTGATTAATTGCTCTAATTGTCAGGAAATTTCTCCCTAGTTCTCCACTGTTAGTGGAGATAGCATCCAGGAATGGGTTAACCTCGTCTATTATCCAGTTGGACTGAGTCTGCAAATGTTAATGTCTTGCCTCCTCTGGTAGCTCCTCCCAGCTTTTAGACTCTGTCTACCTTAGGACTGGACGTGTTCTTTTGTCTCTCTTGTTCAAATTTGGCTAGAATGGAAAACAAAACAACATCAAATGTATTCCTTTTTGAGGCTGGCTCCCTTCTTCAGATCTCAGGTTGAGCAGCCTCTTTTACAGTGACCAGGGCCTCCCCTGGAATGTGCAAACCACACGGCAGTGGTTTTTTTGCACTGGGACAGCAGCAGGGGTGTTTACCTTCGCAGTCCCTACTTGCAGGAGTCCACAGTGGATCATGGGGGTAAGTGGATCATAGAGAGGCTGAAAATCCTCCCCATGGCATGTCCAGAGCCATTTTAAATGGTGGCCATTTTGGGGGCGATCGAATTAACGGGCACCATTTTGTTGTGGCACAAAGAGGAATGGCCGCCATTTTGCAAGCCCTAATTGCCGAAGCTTCCCCAGTTTAGGGGAAAATGAGCCCTAACCAAATGGCCTCACTGCCCAGTGGTGCAGCCACTATCCTCCACTGCACACGCCCAGGTGAGCCTCCTGTTTGATCTCACAGGCTGATCGACCTGAAGTTCTCCATCTAGACAGACATGGGTGATGTGAGC